GCTTAAAACTGCTTCTGGAGAGTAATTGGGAAACTACTTAAGGGTGCATTACATAGTGCAAAAGTTTAAGGTAACTTTCGGTTTTATCTGTATGTTTAAAATGACTTTCAATTTCAGCATGCAAAAGAAGGAACAAAAAACAAGTATTGTCACTTGGGATAGATGGTGCTCTTAAATGATGCTCTTAAATAAATGATGTTCTTAAATAATGTAGCATTTTGCAGATCCAAAGATACTGTCACCTTGGTTTTCTTGTGGAGGAAAAGATTTGCTTTCTCAAGTATGAGACCCTCACTAGGTTCCTGGAAAGTTTGCCCTGAAGAAGTAATAGGGCCAATACCTTGAAATTGTCAAAATAAAGATTTGTGAAAGTGAAAACTTCATTTTACTATTATAAGCAATGAAATGTGAGCTATTACTTTGACACACTTTAATTTACCAAACGTGGCTCTTTTTACTCTTTTTTTTTTTCCAGATCTTGGAATTTCTGGCACAACTTCAAAAAAGTAAGCATAGCTGGGTTTTTTTTTTTTAATATTTTCAACTCTGCTTTGTTATCTTACCCATTAGTGATTTTAAGTATCTGGACACGTGCCAGTAGATATTATTATTGTTGTTATTATTATTATTGTTGTTGTTGTTGTTATTATTACTGCTACTACTACTATGTTAAAAAAAATCCAGCAAAATTCTGGAAAAAAAGTATTCTAGTCATTATTTCTGTATAGATTCACTGAATAATGAAGGTTACTTCTTCCTAACACAGCTCTAAAGCTTGCTAGCTTTAACTCAGGTCTTACATTTCTGTAAATCATTACCGTATTCTGGAAGGTTGCTTCCCAGACAACATAAAATGAAGTAATACTCCAGATGATATTGCATAGCTGTCCTGAGTTAACTAGGCTAATCATAATAATTCGGTTTATCTTTTTTATGGCTTTTTATGTGCTTATCATGTAAATATCGGAATACTTCTAAAATAGCAGAGAAGCCCACAAAGCACAGAAGTTTTTATTTTAATACTTAGAGTATTATAGTTTGTCTCAAAACTTACCTTTCTTCAGTCTCCTTTGGTCAAAAGGTGTAACTTATTGAGGCTAGAGCAGCCTCTAACAGCACCTAGTTTGGATACACCCTTTTTATTCTGTGGATGATTTGTTTCTCGTGTGTGTGTGAACATTTTTCAGACCGAATGCTTTCCTCCTTCAGCTGTCTGCACAAGGTTTCCAGCAATGAAGTGTGCGTTCAAAGACTTCTAGCAGGCAGCTCTACTGCCTGCTCCCAGTAGGACAGGCTGTAGCACTGCTTCTGCCTACTTTGCAAGGGTATTTGCAATAATAATATATCACCTGCAGTCAATGCTAAGCACACTTTTCCTTTATTCTCACCTCAAAGGCCATAACCATGTAACTGGCTTCAGTGTAGAGTGTAGTGGTGTCTACAGCTAACAATCCTTGAACATGAGTGCTACTAAAAGTATATATTCCTGTTAATAACTTAAACTGTGCATACCATAAACTAATGTACCTGCAGGCTAATGTTCATGTGCCCTGCAGTTGCTTTCATTTTCGCAGTGAAGACATGTAAAGAATTGCTCCATCTCTGATGCTATCTGTTAGGGGAGACCTTCAGTGGAACGCTGGCGAGAAGAAACTAACAGGGGGAGCCAACTGGCAGCCAAAAGTAGCACCAGCAACGTGGTCCACCGGTGGTGTCCCCAGTGGCCCCTTGGTAGGTAGTTCCTTTAGACCAGCAGTGAAATGTCACTGCTTTCTGAGACCATGCAAGCAGACGCATAGTTGCTGCTGGGTCCATTTCTGCTCAAGGGTTTGCTTTGTGTAAGTAATGTGATCATTTCAGGTCAAGTTTTTAAGACCAAATCTACAGCTGGTATAACTCAATCACTGCATTCAGGTCAACAAAAATACAGTAGCCTACATATCAAGCTTTGACTGTGTGTATGCTTAGTGGTGTCAGCGGGTATTAAGAAAGCAAAGTGTGTGGCTGGCACTATGTCCAGATAGACTGTCCAGAAACAAAGATAGTTACATGAAGCTGAAATACTGGGGTGAGAGAAAATGGGCTTGTTCCTCATTCAACCTTTCCTGAACACAGTAGATCAAAAGAGTACACTATTCAGACTAGTGAGATGATGTGACATTAGATTAGAAAAGTGTTGTTTATTTAGCCCAGCAAAACAGTCCTACAAAATACACGAGAAGGCCCTGAGAAGGGGGAAAGATGGCAGTTAAATTGAGCTTAAAATATGAATTTGGCACAAGAAAAAGCCGATCATGGATAAACTGTAACAGTAATATGAAGCAAACTCATACGTCATAAAAGTAGCAAGGTCCCTGAACAGACTTTGTTTTAAAAATAAATTATTAAAAGCTGGAGGATAAAGAGTGTCAGATAGAGAGGAGGGAAACTGTCAAGAGAGCAGACTAGTTCAGTTTCCTACTATCGCGACTGAACATTAATATAACTTTAAACATAGTCCAGTTTATTTCTTAATCGTCATATACAAATTCACTGAACTTGATACTTTATTGAATGTATTAGTTGTAACGTCAACTTTTTTTTCTCAATAGAAAGGTTGGGCAATACTGTACTATGTAAGTGAATTTTTTGATCTCTCATTATACTTACCTACTAAACACGAAGATACTAACAGCATCTCACCTGCTTTGCAGTTACTACAGCTGGCTTACAGCTAGCTAGAAACTAGTTTGTACAGGAGTTTTCAGATGTCTGTGCAGCAATGTATTGAATGTCACCATTTCTGTGCTATAAAAAAAAAATGCTTCCACATACCTCTGCTCTGCTTTAGTGTAAAGGATCTGGTGACTTGCACTTCGCAGACCAGCAACGTATTGAATGTTACCATTTCTGTGCTATAAAAAAAAAAATGCTTCCAAATACCTCTGCTCTGCTTTAGTATGAAGGATCTGGTGACTTGCACTTCGCAGACTTTCTGACTTCTTTAATACTGGCTCAGTCTGGTAGTGGTTTTGCCATCTGAGTAAGTGGCCCCTCTGGAAAGCTGGGTGGAGGGATAGCATTTCATGAAACATGGGTACTATGTTTCCCTTCTCAGGCCATGCACTTAGGGCTTTTTGAAGTCAGAGAATAGAACAGCCACAGGAAAAAATAAAACAAATATGGAGGCTGCAGTGAAGCATTTCTTCCCATCACCACTGAAGTCTGAATTTGAGCTACTTCAGCTTTGTTCACTTCTTCCCTTCATCGTGGCCCTTTGCACCTTCTGGATTAACAGCAGAGCAGAATTTCAGAAGATCCTGTCTCCTGAAGTGACCACAGTATCCTGAAGCAAAAGCAGATCCAGTTCAGGGGTCATTTTTTTGGCGTCTGCCTAACTGAATTTGAAACTAAGACTTCTTCCTTTGGCTACAGTCAGAGCAGTTTAGGGTGTTCATTTGATGACAGTAATTCAGGTCTTTCCATATTTTGCTTTCCATATCTGAGTGTCCACATGTTAGTTTTAATATGGGGACAAATAAAAATGCTGCTCTTAAGTTTTGACTGGTAAAGAGATTCATAATAATTGGTCAGCATCTGTAGGATGCACATGGTGCAGCAAACCTGGAAGAGGCTGTCCTACCTAGTGCCACGAATCTGAAAAAAAAGGGCCTATTTTAGCCTGGAAGCAAGGACCAAATTACAATGCCCAATGCCACGTTCACAGAAGTGGACTCTGTAGAGAGTCATTACTGCACTTCTCCAGAGGGACACTTTCCTTTGAGCTGAAAAATACTGTAACTGTGCTCCAAGCATGGATGGGTTATAACTGACTCCAGGTAAACAGTAAGGAGTCTGAGTTGGGCAAGACCTTACCACTTCTGCAATAGCTTCAGGATTTGTGCCAGGATACTTCTTTAGGACACATATTAACAATAATGAGGTTCTTGAGGATTCCCAAATACTAGTAAGATCATTTTCTTGAGTGCTTTCTGCCTCTCTCGAGCTGATAGAGTTTAAATACAGGCCACAGGAAGACTCTGTGTGGGGAAATGACAGAAAAGGGACCCAGAAGGCGTGTTCCTCCAAGTCCTGCTACATAAGTGTGGTGGCCTCCTTCAAAGCTGTTTTTACCTGTGTGCTGTCTGTCCATTCAGATGCCTAAACAAACAGTTCTGTCTTTCTGCATTGTAGCGGAAATTCTTTTTTCTTCCCTTACGCATTAATTGAATGAAAATCCATTGTGCAAGAAGTTAAAATGAACTTAACTCTCCTTGGCTCATGCACATAATGGTTGTAACTGTGGCTTGTGTGTGAATGAGGCATAGTTAAATGAATGTGACTGCATAAAAATACTAATTAATTTCCCTTGGAAACTAATTACTGTAGCAATTATTTTCCTTGACTTCTATGCTGTACTCAAGCTAAGCATAATTCTGTAGCTAAAATGCAATGCTATAAGTAAAATGCAATGCTATAAGTGCCATAGTGTGTTAACTATCAGTTATGATGTTAGTAGGCTCTGTTATACTCCTCAATAGAAGAAGAAAAACAGTATTTTGGTCTCATTTGAGTTGTATTCTGCAAATGGACTCCATTCATGACGACAAGAGAGTCTGTTACCTGAGTTTTCTTATGACAAAATAAACTAAACATTGGTCCAAACGGTCATTCAGCAATCACTCAGCTCATTCTGTAGCAGCCTTGTGCTTTTCAGGTTAGGTGTTACCTGTTACAGAACAGTGCTACTTTCCAGAACAGCTTAGAGACTCTTAGAGACACACTGTGGTTTCCCAATAGTTGATGTTACAGCAATTCTTGTGTTTCATTCAGACAGGAACCGTGCCTCCAGCAAGTGCTGTTCCTGCTGCGGGGGGTACTCCGCCTGTTGCACAGCCAGGAGCAGCGTTTGGGATGGTGAGTTGTCTTTCCTGGCTGCTCTGCCCCCTTCCCCCCGAGCGCTGCTCATGCTGCCTTTAACTTGCAGGCGCCAGCAGGGGCAGGGGTGCCCATGATGCCCCAGCAGCCAGTGATGTACGGGCAGCCCATGATGAGGCCACCGTTCGGGGCTGCCCCGGGCCCTGGTGTACAGGTAAGTGCTGCAGTTAGAGGCATGTCGTACTGCTCCCCGTTACCCTAAAAAGTGGCTTTTGTATTCCAGATCTCAGTTTGATTCTAGCTGTAGATCTTCAAATGAGATTTCTTATGGTACCGACTATAGCCAAGGAAGATCTCAGTCAAGTGAAGAGCCAGTGTGTTGAAGTGCTTTTGATTTTGGTGACAAACTGGGTGAGAATTTTACTGTGTTTCAGTGACTCTCTGCTCTGGTGACCTCCAACAGGTCACATCAACCACCCTCAATTCTTCTCAATTGTCTTATAGGAGAACAGTGAAAGCGCAGATTTGAAGTCTCTCAAATTACCTACTCCCAAGATATGTTTTGCAGTGGGATTTGCAGAAAGCTCAAAGTGGAGTTGATTGGCATTCTTGCTCTGTCCAGAGCCTGTCAGAATTTACACTGTGCATCTCCCCTCACAGGCACTGAAATGTTTCTCTGGAAAACCCACCTTCAGCTGATGAATGAGCTAAGATCTTAAGTTCTTGAATGAGCTGTCTCAGTAAATGCAGGTTTCACCACTTTAGGCTGGTAGTTTGCTGGCTTTATTTCAAAGTAATTGCATTCAAGTATGAAGGTATGTGATGGTGAAGTGTTCAGGATACACACACTTCACTGCAGTGTGCCATTTTAAATACTACCAAGTGGAATTTATTTCTTCTAACCAACCTAATGTGGAGGAAGGCAAATACACATTAGTCTTAATCTTCAATCACTGTTTTCTTCTGCAAGCAGTAGATAGATGACACAGCCCCATTTTTCATGTATTTAAAGTACATTCACCTAGTCTTTGTGACAATCACATGTTTAGACTCAAAGGAGACACAATTTTGGCTACTTACAACAGCAGGTTCACTAAAGCAAGGCTATTTTTAAAGAACTAGCATGGTAATTAAAATGGCAGGGCTGGTTCTCTAAGTTGTTTGGCAGATGTAGAGTAACAGAAGTTTCTGTGCATAAGAGTCCTGTAGTAGTTGCTATACACAGTGAGCAACCTGTTCATTACGTGAGGAGCCTTTGCTTAGCAGCGATTCTGAGTAAGCCTGTCCTATTTTATGCCTGACCAGTGTACACAGAAGTTACCTCTGGATATTATTCTGCAGGTTTGCATGTAGTGATGCAGGAGAAATTAGTCTGAAAAGGTCAGCCTGAAGAGCACAGTCACAACAGGCTTCAGGTAGTATCTGAGCATTCCGGCCTCAACTTGGCAAGAGTTGCATAGCACCTGATTGGGGACAATTCCACTAAATGGGTTTTGCTTTTTTTAGGGCAATTTAGGTTGTTTTTCAAGAGCAGATTGTGGTGACTTTGATCACGCTGGTCATCATACAAGAAGTGAATAACCGGGCAACTAGCTATAAGTTTATAATAGCTTTCAATTGGAAAGCTATAGAAAATGCTTCTGTAAGGAAGAGGCAGGGGATGCTTGCCTGTAACATCCTGCTTCTGTTCAGAAGTTAGAAGTCCTTCTTCCCTTTGAAGTAATAGAGCACACAAGCTGGTGCCATGGCTCTTAAACCTGCTTTGTATCACTCAAAAACAACCCGCTTCCCATTTTTGCAAGCATCAAGTTACATGACCAAACTTGGTAGCAAATGCTACTCCTTAAGTAAGGAAACACATTCCCATTCATGTATCTTTGGATTTGCTTTGGAAAAATGTCAAGGACTTGAAATTTTTAAAGAGAGAAATTGGATTATTGATGTTAGAGCTGTGCATTTTGTGTATTTTAGTTTTCCTCACACCTCAAATGGGCTTTTACATTGAAATTTTTAAAGAGAAAAATTGGATTATTGATGTTAGAACTGTGCATTTTGTGTATAGATACTTGATTTTACTTTTCCTCACACCTCAAATGGGCTTTTAATTTCAGAGAGTAATATAAGAACAGTATTATGAGAGACACCTAAAAGTGTCCAAGATAGCTAGTGCCTTGAGTATGGCAGGGATAAGGGCAGGAAGGTGCAGTTGCATGGAACTTGAAAAAATGGTCACTTTCTACTGATTATTGGATTTTTTTAATACCTAAACAAGGTGCAGAGAGTCTGCAGTACAGTCTTTTTTTCTTTTTTCTTACTGCCAACATAGAAGAACTTGTATTTAATTGCCAGAGGCAGGGATTCTCAGATGTACTCTTCAGCAGCCACTTTTCTTGTTTATAGCCTTCATTTTTTAGCATCTAACCATTGCTTAACTACTTTCTGGGTTAATGTTTCTAACACATTTCGGTCTTACAAGGAAAGAATGATTTAAAGCCACACTAAGTAGAATACTTGGTGTCTGAACCCTTGTCCGTCGTATCAGCCATTGTGAATTCAGTGTTTGGGACAGAATTTAGGCAAATGTTTGAGCAAAATGGCACCACGTTGAACTGAACAGCCACCTTAAACTTTGTGTGCTTGCAGTGCACTTGCGTGTGTTCCCGCTGCGCTTGCCTAACGCTTGTATATCCTTGTCTGCTTTCTTTTTTCTGCCTTCCTGGCTGGCGTCTGTTAGCTTTCTCCAAGCCCAACTCCTGCTACTCAGAGTCCCAAGAAACCTCCAACAAAGGACCCATTAGCGGATCTTAACATCAAGGATTTCTTGTAAACGCTCAGGTACTCTGTGACTGCCTGACTAAGCATGTTGCACTGGAGTACGTATCTGGCACACAGGTGTTCATTAGTCCCATAGAGTAAATGTTAAATATATTTAAAAAAAAATGAAATATGTCTGGCAGAATTGTAGCTTCAGAGTTGGGTAGAAACATATATTACTAATGTACGTTTAACAGAAAACTGTGCCTATAACAGAAGGCCTGTTTGCTGTTTTATTTTAACCTGAAAGCTTGACTTGGGCAGCTTTTGGGACTAAAGTGACTGACCAGGTAAGTTATCTTGGATCTGTAAATTCAGGTTTGTCTTGTTTCCACTCCATCCAGGGGTTCATGTTTTTCTTTCCTTGAATGTAATACGGAAGTAAGTAGGATCATAATAGATTACAAATACTGAGGAAAAAAAATACTGAAAAGCCAAGTTCCACCTTGTTCCAAGCAGCTGTAGGTTATTCACGTGAGAGTGTCACGAGAGTGACAGATCATAAGCAGTAATCCAGTCTTCATGTGGAACCAGATTTTGTATAGTAGGTGTGTGGAACATTGAGAAGTTAAAAGAGAAAAGCTCAAATATCCTGAGCATCAGGCAAAGGTTGCCTGCATACCTTGCTGCTTTTGGTCTCGTGTCCTTCCTGACCTTACAGTTTCCAAGACACTGCATTTCTGATGCATTACCAGAGGGTTTGGAGAAGAGCTGGAGCAGGGCTAGGTGGAAATGTCAGATTGAACTCTTCAGCCAATTAAAAAAAAGGCAGAAAAAGATAGGCATTTAAAACTAAGACTGGAACAGCTTTCCAGGTAAGGAGAGGACAATAATCATGTATCCTTAAGAGCTTCTTTGAAAATTCCTTCTCTGTAGCTATAGCTTAAAATGAAGACTGTTCTGAGCTCTACACTCTACAGTCTTGGCAGACACGGCCCGGTTCCGTTTTCCCCCTTGCCGATGTCCGTGCGGGGCAGCCGTTCCTGGGCCTTTGCGGAGATGCAGAGCAGCCCCTTGCTGCCCTCACTGCTTCCCCCTCGGCAGAGCCAGAGCTGCCGGTGGGAAGGCCGCTCCTTCGGGAGCGATCCATAACGGCTTCGAGGGCTAAAGGAAGGGCTCTTTTCCTTAGCTTTTCTAGGAGATGTTTTACCTGATCCGATATTCCGGTTTCCGTCTAATGCTTCTCTGTTTCCACAGCTGCAGTTTTTCTGACTGGACAGTAAAAACGTGAGTTTGGAGTCTACAAATTGATGCTCAGAGTTTCCAAGTGAGCTACCAGTACCAAACCCAGCGCTTACTCAGACTTTCTCTTACTCCTGAAACGTGTAGCACAGCTGTGAAAGTGAACATTAGGAATGTGTACTACTACCTTAGCTGTTATCCCTACTCTCTCTAAATTTGTGTACTTGGGTTATTTGTGTTTTACAATTTAAACAATGGATGTATGTTTCTGATGCCTTCTAGTGCTTTTCTGAACCTGTCCCATGGGGGAAGATTATGCAGCTGTTGTTTGGTGAGCCATTTGGAGCAATGTCTGTGTTTTTTGAAGGTTTCAATGTATATAACTTTTCAAGGACACCTGAAATTTCCCTGAGACTCAATTTCTCCTTTATCTGTTACAAAATATAGTGTGATAATACCAGATAGTAAGGAAAACACTTATGAAGTTGTGTGGAATACACTGTTTTTCCAATCACAGGAATCCCAATTGTCATGAAAAAATGTTTTATTTTTGTGGCACTGTATATGTTAAAATAATTTAAAGTAATATAAAGGTAAACCTCCATAACATGCTTTTCAATGTTTTACCAAGAATGAAAAATCATATCTGAAAGATTACCATATTTATTTCTGGTTTTATTTTAAAATATATATTAATTATTTAAGGTTTTTTTTTCCTTTTAAAATTGGCATATTTATCAATTCTTGCTAAATGCACTGAAAATAAGTAAAGGGTCAGTTTCTCTCCATGTAGTTGAAAAAAGCAACCATAGTCGTGCTGGCATTAGGGGATTTCAAATACGGGAGCACTCTTTGGTGTATCTGTAGTCAGAACATTACAAGTGGTGTTACTCATCTCTGTTTAGTTCTTATGTACATCTCTTAATTTAGTGCTTACCTGTGTATGCCTTAGGCTAGTGTTTTATCCATTTCCTCAAATGCGCTGTGAGTAGCTTTTGTACTATTGGTGATTAGATTAAATTCTGATCCAGAGAACCATGCCCTTTACTGTACATAAATGTGTTTCTTTAATTTTTAGTTTGTTCTCATACTGTTTCTGCTGACGGCTTGGCTTAAGATCTTGACTCTTCAATGAGGTCACTGTTGATCAGTGTTACAAGTGGCTTGGCAGTTCTCTGTAAAAGCATATTGGGTTGGAAAGATGTTCACCTCAAGTCTTTCAAATTAACTATTTAATCAGTGTATGGTACCATTACAAGTGGTTGTATCTGAAGTTGCGGTGGGGATAACATGTACACCGTCATGGGAAAGTTCTATACAAAGCTAATTTCAAAATGGCTCTTCTTTGTATTTCAGTTCAAAAAAACAACAACAAAAAAACCCAGAAACCCCAGTGCATGTGTGCCCTCTGAGATGCAATAAACACCTTGATGAAAGTAAATGTCTTGTTGCTGGTTTCCTGATCACTCAGATGTTGAGTACAGTCGTACACGGAGGGGGCTGCAAAGGTCCTAACACTTTATTTGGACCTGCAGCCTGGTTTTGCTGATCTTTGAGCAGTGCAGGAGAGAATCGTGCAAAGTGAAACTACGCACAAAGCCACAAGCAAGTGAAGCAGAGGGGATGAAAGGAGAGTTCTCTGGTGTGGCCTGTACTGCCTCATAAGGTCTCATTGAAACTACTGCTCTCCTGAAACCAGAGTGGCACTGGACTAGCTGTAGCTGTGAAGGAGCTTACAGTGCTCATCCTGATTTCTTTCCTCTTAGGGGTTGTTACTGAGAGCTGGGACAGCCTAGGTTTCTAAAGGAGTTGCATATACTAAGGCTCATCTTATGGCAGCATGAAGAGAGGAGGAAATGCTTCATGTAGTGTAGCTTCTTTACAGTCCTTCTGATGCTGAATGACTGCAAAAGATATCCTGAGCTCATACAAGTGAGATGACTAAGCAGTGATGCACACCAGGGGCTGCTCGAAGCACTGCCTAAACTGGAAGGTACGGCAACTGGATCACCCTCTGGTAAGCTTTGAATTTTGAGCTGAACCAGTAGGGGAGTGCCATTGCTTAAAAGTGCTCTGGTGGGTTTTTTGTTTGTTGGTTTTGTATTTTTGTTTGCTGCCTCACTCATCCTTTGAATCCATCAAGTTTGGCCTTTGGAAATCTGACTTGGTCCACACTGAGTCTTGGGATGAGTGTCCTGTTGAGCCAGACTCTTTTGGGTTGGAAACCTGTAAGGCTAAGCCAGGCCTTTCTCAGCAGATTCCTGTGATTTTGTTTCAGGTCAGTAAGACCCGGTCTGGTTCTTGAATGCGCACCCAGAGGGCTCACAGTGTTCTCGGGCTCTCTTTAGTTCTTCTTTCCTTTGTGTTACTTTAAATAAATGCAGGGACTGTTAAATTATCCCCATCTTGTACATGCTAAATTATCCCCGTCTTGTACGTGCTTTCTCACTTGGAGTTATAATTGAGAGCGTTTTCAGAGGACCATCATAAGCAAACCCTGGTGGCAAGATGCAGGCAGACCAGTTCTCTAGCGTTTTGTGCTAACTAAGGTGATTAGCAGAACTCAGAGTTCCCTTAGTAGCTAACAGACTGCAACAAACTTGTGTTTTACCTAGGACACAGGCTCCTGTGTGAAGCCTATAAAGGCCTCTTGAAAAACAGGTCCCAGCAGTGGCATGCTGATCTACAAGGCTTTAATGCCTAGGGAAATAAATGAAAGCTTGTTATGGTAGAAATAGTGTCAGTGACACAAAGATTATACATGGAGCTATTTGTCCATCTCTTTTAGAACATGAAATCTATCAGCAGTCTTATTAAAAGGAAGAAAACTTTTTTCCCATGTGTTTCATGTGGCTAGAGCTGTGAGCAGTGTGGGAGATGGCAGACACTAAGTGTTAATGAAGGGACTAAGAGTTTTAGACATGGGATTACAGAGAGGGAGTTGGTTATATGTATTTTAAAGCAGCGAATGCTGCTGTATTTTCTATTCCAGACTTCAGGCTCCTAAAGGGTCGTCATCTCTTCCTTCCCTCTTAAGTAAACTGCGTAAATCATGTGGGTAGCAAAAGCCTGATGCTCGTTCTGTTGCACAAGGCATCTTTGGATGCTATTATAGGTGTAATAATATTTACTCTTGGTGGAAGTTACCAAAGGGAATGAATGGGACAGAAGAAGCAGAAACTGAAACAGAGAAATGGGCTGTGGGAGAAAACATCCCTTGCTAGGACTAGGTGGAGGAAGCTTCTTCTGCAGTTGTGAGGGGGACCTGTGGTGGCTATGATGAATGACTACCCCACAGCAACAGCAAAAAACACTTCCAACATTTGCAGTGGGGTCACTGAAGTGAAACCTGTCGCGTTTTTAAATTGCAGCTGCCTTCTAGTCATACTGAAGATATTGCTCATGGAAGATGACAATTTCATGTCTTTTCAAAGGTCTTTCCAAAACACTAACCTGCTCTACTGGATGCAGAAGCTTCGTGCCATGGAGCAGCAGTAGGTACATCTAAGGTACATGCTACGTGAAGGTTTTTCTCCATGGTAAACTCCCATTTTACAGGGAAAAATGATCTTGGAAGAGATGGAAAAGTGAGTCAAAGTTAAATTGGTGGTTGGAGACAGGTTAGTTGATGGGCTTTGAAATAACTGCAAGAGGCTGGTAGGATATCCATGTAGGGTTGGAGTGATATTTAGGGAATCATGGAAGCAAGAAGAAAGGGAACTTCCTTGTAGCTGGCTCAGGCCTCCCCTGCTCTCCTAGGATTATCGTTTTGCTCCCTCCCATGCTCCTTGCCTTTAAGAGATGGAGGGCGACAGGCGACTGAGGGTGGCCCTGGGCCTGGCCAGCTCTGCACCTCCAGCTTGGGGAAGGAGCTGCTGCAGCAGGCGTGCAGCTTGCACGTGTGCACGTGAGCACCTCTGACTGCTCTTCAGTGAAGATGCAGGCCAGGCCTCGCTCAGCCTTGTGCCTTGCAGGACATGAGCTGTCTGAAGGAGACAAGATTTGGTGGTGCCGGCCAGTGCCGCCTGGGCCTTGTTGCCTGGGCCTCGTGTCTCCAGCATCGCGGCTCCGGCCGCGTTTCTTCTGGTGAACTTTGCAGCAGCAGAACTGAAACTCGGTCCTGGGCTCCCTTCAAAAACGTTCTCCGTGGGAAGCAAGCTGCTTATCTTGTTACTAGACTTCCTTGAAGATCTGGCCATGCAAAATTTGCTTATGGGGCTCTTGGCTCCAAGGCAAGTTATGCTGGAAATTTGCCTCTCTCTCAAAGTATTTGACCTGCTGAGACGCCTGAAGGATGGCTCAGATGTTCTGCTCTCTAGAGCATGGACAGGGAGAGAGGCAGGGTTGAGTTCAAGCTATTGCAGCCAATTTTTAATTGAAACAAGTGCTCCACCAAGTCCCCCTTGTGTGCATGAGCTGTATTTAAGTATCCTTCTAAACTTAATTTGAAGTTCAGCTAAGCAAGTTATTCAGCTAATAATCAATTACTGTCTTCTAAATTTCACTTTTGTTTCAAAATCCAAGATATGCAGATGAAATAATATGTTCCTTGACCGCAGTCCTCAAGAGCATTAGAGACAGAGCTGATTCCCAGTTACTAGCAAGGAGCCCATAACAGAAAATACTGTTCCCTTTCAAAGTAATGTAAACAAATTACTCTGCAACAGTAAGTATATTTTTACTTTGCCTATTTAAGTGCTTGGCTATTGTTTGGGATTATAAATAGTAACTATAAAACTAACGCGTGCCCGTGGGCCTGTAATGCACAGCACAGTGGTTATTTTAAAGCATTTTTAAGTAAAGTTATTTCTCCTCCTACATATGACACCTAAGCGAGGTAATTGTTTTCTGGAGCTTTTAAAGCATTCCTTTACAAATAGTTTTTTGGTTAGTAAGGTGTAACATTAGCTTTTGGTATCTCTTGCACATACATTATCAGTATAGGCAAATCTAATGGACTAAAGCATTAACGCTATTCTGTGGTTCCAGGATGGAACATTTTTTGTCCAATTTGGTTAATGTTTATTGTAGCAGCTTGTGTATTGCTTAGACTCTTTTGCTTCTTTAGACATTTGGCTTCATGATTGATCATCAAGTTTGACTCAGATCCTACTCTATTATTTAGCCCAGCTTGTGGATTTTTCAGAGAACTTTTTTTTTTTTTTTTTTTTTTTGCCAACAACGGTCGAAGACTGGATTTGGGTTGTTTGTGCTTCTAACCATTTTTAAGAGTACCTCAAATGACTTGCTAGTGCATCACAACCAACATCCCTCTTCTCTATGTATGTGCTGAAAAAAGGACAAATCGTCTCCATTTCTCTCTAATGCAGATTTCAGAGGAACAGACAACTGCAAAATAATTGCAAGCACTGGAGGTCATAGCGATTCCCCAGAATATACTTCACCAGCTTGTACAGCTGTTTTCAGGATTTCCCTTGCCTTACTGTGTTGTAATTACTGTCCCTTTGCTCCACTGGGGATTCGCACAGGAATAACCCTACATTAAAATTTAAGGAAAGCATTTCTTGCAACATAGTCCTGCAAGGGGTCTGTCTGGGAATTTAGAACTGAATTAGCTAGTCTCATGTGTGCAGACTTCGTACAGTACAGGTCAGCGCAGTTTCATGAAGCGCCTGCGGTGGATGTTGTTCTTCTCATTTAATGACCTTTTGAAATAGTTGGAGAGATTCCAGAATAGTGTTGTTCTAGTTGTGCAGTTTGGCTTGCCAGGCAGGCTTGGTTATTTAAGACTGAACTTACCAGTTAAAATATCCAGCTCCTGTTAAGTCCAGTGTTTTGGTAAATCTGTCTGCATTGGAGAGATTGGAGAGACTAAAACGGCATCATTTTCCCCTACTACCCAAACTGAAGAGTTAAGCAGATTCAATCGGTCTGTCTTGGGCTGAGCCATTTTGTGAAATGCAGTATTTTTCTCTTGACTAAGGCGATTTACTGCATGGTTACACAGAACTTTTATATTTGTGGGTTTAACTTGAAGTTGGCTCTCTGCTATGAGTAAACAAGACCAGTGCAACTGGATGCCTGCAGACCTTCTCAGGCAGAGAATGTGATGCCTCCAGTTAAAAGCACTGACCAGGATCATAAGATAGAAATCACTGAAGTTTATGGTCCACCTACTCTATTGCCTTGTTCTGAAGCAAAAACTGTATAGTTGCCAAAAGATCTTTCTTAAAGACCTCCCTCAGTCATGACACCCCAGCCCTTCCAAACACAACTTGAGGGCCTCGCCACCTTCACCCCGGGAAGGCTCCTGTTCTTCTATTACCTGACTTTTTGCTGCTTGACCTTGGAATTCTATCCATGGGGACCATAAAACCCATGGGCCTGTAAAGTAAATCTATAGATAATTTTTTTGGTCTCCTTTCTTGTTCAGGATAGTGCTGGTACACCAGCAATTTTGCTGGGTGCCAAGGTGCAAAC